CTTCCCTCAAGATAGCACTATGGTTGGTGCTCATTAGCTAAACAAATTTGCATAACTAATACAAGATTATTAAACAAATTCACTACGTTCAATTAACCACCATAGACTCCGGTCAGTCAAAATGACTATTTTGAACTGTAGGCATTAATCTGTGATTCAGCCAATGACGGAGAGAGAAATCTAGGTCAGGGGAAGCCCATGACCTCATAGATTTTCTTTTCACATCACGCGTGACGTGACCGAGGCCCGCACCATCTTGCCCCATGATCACTTCTTAATGGGTTTTACCTCAAAGACGTTGTTACAGCAGTGTATCAGTGAAAAGGCAAAGGCAAATGGCTGAATTGAATGGTGAAATGAGGAAAAACACCCATTCACATAATACATGTAGTCAGATTTAGGGTTTATGCAAAAAATGGCGAAGCTGTTCAAACAAATGATTCTCCATCAATATGCCAAGTGTCACACGCAACGTAATATTACCGTAATTGGTATAGTACAGGTGTGATGGTTCAAATACCAAATGGCACAAGTAACAGAAAGATTTCCCTGGCGGCGATGATAAAACACGAATACGGAGCCAACAGATGAGGTTTCAACTGGTACTGGTATTATTATACTCTGCAAACATCAAGTAAATTAACGCGGTAAAACTCCACTACTCCAATAACTAGATACTTAAACTCCAATACAATTCAACGAGATCTCCGATCTAATCTCAGTGCTGAACAACTCCCCTATATATACCCACACTGTTTATAAATAGACCATTACATCAGCATACATTATGAGTCTGGAACTTACTACACATTTCTAGAATGTTCCATTACCTTCTATTGCCTTCTACAGTGTTCTATTACCTATTCAACCAGTTCCTAAAAATCTAGAATATTCTACCCAGACACATTACGTTTCTAGAACATTCTCATTGACACGGAAGTGGTAAACAAGTCGTATGCGACACCAAGTTTGCATTAATATCTACTTCAAAATTTGTAGGGAAATTTGTTTACACAAGTATGGAATGACACAGCCCAAATTAGTTGTCTCCTTTCATACAAATTAGAAGATTATCATAAAACCAATTCATACTTTTCTAGTAATACTGAATAAAATTAATGAAAGAACTTGTTGGTGTTTGTCTCAGACTGTTTTTGCTTATCACATACATGTAGTGTCTTTTGTGATTTTAACTATAAATTCTGTTATGGGGATAATCTCTATCAGCAATCAGACTTTCCAATGTTACCAAAGTTTTAATTTATTACAATGTTTTAAGACATACATTTAAACAAATAATTAACCCAACCTGCACCCACTGAAGAGTGACCCACAATGCAATGCGTTAAGGATTATTTTTTTCCCATGAATTGATCAATCATGATTTTGAGAATAAGTCTTGTGTATGTTTTTTCTCAACATTTTTTATTAATGCTGGTCATATTTTATTTAAAGTTCAATATATTGTATTCTTATTTCTAAACACATTTCCTGATGAAAACCTTGATGGAGAGCTGAAAAGAAAGTAAAAAATGCAGTCAACAGGTGACATTTTAAGTCCAGCATTTCAAACCTTTTCACCACCAGTTCATCACAAACTCACAAAATAATCCTGTTTATAGTCTGCATTTTCCCTCAGAAGATTGGAACAAAAATGAACAAAAAGTTTTTGGGTAAAAACGGACAATTGACCCAAATTGTGTCTGTTGGCTCCAAAGTTAGAGTTCATTTCCAGAATTTGGTGGTGAAAGTGTCAACTTCTATTCATTCATTTCTTGTTTCTCAGGACGGGTGGCGTTTCTCCCATGGATGTAGCTGAGAAAGCAATCAAAGCAATAGAAGACTCTGAACAGTTGACACCAAAGTTGAGAGCAGTGGTTCAATACAATGTACAGGAAATTAAAAGGGTGACAATTTTTGTTTGTACACTTGTAGCCAGACAAATACATCATATTCAGCTTTATTTTCATTTTCATGCCAGTTAAAAAAAAATCTTAAAATCAAAACCAACCTGTGTGAGATATATCTGTATCTCACTGTATGATATGGGAACACTGTTCAATTCTAATGTATGGTCTTTTGTATTGTACAAAAGTGTATTACAATCAAACCTTTGTATAGTGACCTCCAATAGGACTTCATTAAAATTGTCTTTATAGACAGGTGGTCTTTATATGGAGGTTGGGTTATTTTTGTATTGATCACCAACTCGTACATTTTACATTATATTTGTTCAGAAAATAATGATATGATACTTTTGCAAACAAAAAATATTTTAGTCAATTTTGAATCAAAATTGAAAATCCAATAATTTTTACTTGAAGAAAGTAAAAAAAAAATTTAAAAACTGAGTGTTGATTATTAATTTGGTATCTAAACAAAAGAGAATCTGCAAAAATATTGCTAAATTAGTGGTCGCATAAGACAATCTTTATACACTGGTTACTCGTATGTTATGCCTTGGAACTGCCTACAAGTAGACCCTAAATATATAGGCAGGTGAACCTTTATACAGAGGTGGTCACCAACACAGGTTTGTCTTTTATACTTTGAAACATTTTGATTGTTTATTTTGACTATATACTATTTGTCATTGTTGTTTCTGTGTTATTCCAGATGGCGAAGGCATCCTGTGAGCGTTTTGAATCTAATAAACCACTTTCAGTGTTTGATGGTGTACCGGTCCTGGTCAAGGAAGAAGTGCATGTTGTAAGTGTCTAATATCTGTTCACCAAAATTATTGTAAACTGCTAATTTTTATAATACAATATACAAAATTTTAGATAAACACAAATGGGTTTCATTTTTGTAATAGATTTTTCTTTTTTATAGTTTTTCCTTTGTGTTTCTGTGAAATATATTTGATTTTTTATCTTAACCATGAAGTTATTATTATTATTATGAGGTTAATACGAGGATACTGCAAAGTATGCGTGAAGATGCCAGAGTATCGACCGACACGTAGTATTCTCATAACCTTATTAATATACATCTTTTCCTCCCAGGAATACATCATGGGAATGCCGAAAAATGGTTAGAACCGATTTCGCAAACTTTTTCGTCTGGGTACGATCAAACCCTGGGGGCAGCCATGTTTGATTTTTATTATTAGAAGACGCTTACACATGTAATCGTTCCATATTTTGAATTTGCGTTTCCTGGTATGGTAGGATGAAAATACCCAGTGCAATACCACAAAATTACAGCGTTACAGTGACAGATGTATAATAATATAAATTAAGTGATGCCAGGAAAAATGGGAAATTTTTTGTAGACATTCAGTGAATTTCATAAAGACATGAATAATATAAAATATTTTAAAATTTCAAATGATGGTTGAAAATCAGCCAATGATTAAAGGAAACTTGCAAAGACTCATGGGTAATGGTGTTACAAAATGGTTTCTATAGCCAATGAAAGTGTCTTCTTTGGATTTGAAGCCTGAGTGTCAAACATAACCCTAGCGAGTATAGAGTTACCGGTATATCAAACACTCACACAGATAGTGTGATCCAACACATTATGCTATGAGTAATAAGAACATGCAATACAGTGATAGTGTTCAAGGAGGGCTAGGTTAGATTAAAATTACATGCAAATTCCACTCAACAAGTTTATAGTTTGGAATACATGTGTGTTTGTTTGTTTGTTTGTTGCCAGGTTCCATACTACAAAAGAGATGGCTCTGCGTCCATTGGAAATACACAGACCAAAGAAGATGCCACCATGGTGAAGAAATTACGAGATGCAGGGGCCGTAATTCTAGGTGTCACCAACATGCATGAATTTGGTATGGGTGTTACTGGGATCAACTCAAGCATGTGAGCATACTGCAATGCTTTAGGACGGGGATGGACCTATTGCTATGGGTGTTACAGGGATCAACCCATGCAAATAAGGGTATTGCAATGCTTTAGGATGGGGATGGCCTTTTGCTATGTTACAGGGAACAATCCATGCAAATAAGGGTACTGCAATGCTTTAGGATGGGGATTGCATTTTTGCTATGGGTGTTACAGGGTTCAACCCATGCAAATAAGGGTATTGCAATGCTTTAGGATGGGGATTGAATTTTTGCTATGGGTGTTACAGGGATCAACCCATGCAAATAATGGTACTACAATGCTTTAGGACGGGCATGGACCTATTGCCATGGGTGTTACAGGGAACAATCCATGCAAATAAGGGTACTGCAATGCTTTAGGATGGGGATTGCATTTTTGCTATGGGTGTTACAGGGATCAACCCATGCAAATAAGGGTATTACAATGCTTTAGGGTGGGAATGGATCTATTGCTATGGGTGTTACAGGGTTCAACCCATGCAAATAAGGGTATTGCAATGCTTTAGGATGGGGATTGAATTTTTGCTATGGGTGTTACAGGGATCAACCCATGCAAATAAGGGTACTGCAATGCTTTAGGATGGGGATTGAATTTTTGCTATGGATGTTACAGGGATCAACCCATGCAAATAAGGGTATTACAATGCTTTAGGGTGGGAATGGACCTATTGCTATGGGTGTTACAGGGTTCAACCCATGCAAATAAGGGTATTGCAATGCTTTAGGATGGGGATTGAATTTTTGCTATGGGTGTTACAGGGTTCAACC